AGAACCGTTGGGCCGCTCAAATCTTTCGCAAGAGAAGCATGAGAAGCCAAGCAACATCCTTCAAGGATCCCAAAATGCCCTTGAGTCACCAGGTTGCGAGGAGGTTGCGAGGAGGTTAACCTCAAAGGATCTTCAAAGCGAAGAGGTCACTCAGTACACTTGAGGAGCGTTGAGGGCGATCAGACTTCTATGGGGAAACACGTGTCGTTTAGAGGAAGCAAAGAGAACAGAAGCAGGGAGACTCTGCGATGTGCTGGTCGCATACAGGCATATACAGACCAGGCCTCAAGAATGGGCACGCAGATACAGATCTGTATCCAACACCAATTTTGGGAAGATGTGGCGCTTGTACTAGACTGCTTGGTTTGAGGGAGTGTTCCTGTGTTTGTCTCACTGGTGGTTGGGGCATGGCACCTGCGGCGAAGCGGAGGGGCTCAGAGCCCGAGGACGCCCGAGGACGTGGGACCGAACCGGAGGAGTGGACTGACTCCTCGTTCGGCCCTCCTTCGGAACATCGTCTATCACACCTGGAGAGGTGGAGCAGCCTATTACTATCGGTACCACTGCACACCTGAGCCCAGACCCGGGTGGTCTTTGGGTCCTGAATGACCGTTCTTGAGAGGCTAATTGATAGACACCCGGCAAGGGTCCTGATATACCATCACGTTTCGCCTCACTGAGGCTCGCCTTCGGAGCGCCCGTCAACGCGACCGCGTCCGCGGATGGGGTGCGCCCGAACCCGACCGCCCGCCGGATGCCTTCGGCTTCGGCCCGGACGTGAACCGTGCGGTGGATGGGGGGGCTCCTACGGTGCGACACCGTTTTGGATCTATTGCAAGGATGGCCGTGGTTTCGCCCTCTCACGGAGCTTAGCGGCTTACTGACTCCCACTCAAGTATCGCAGGCGATTCACCACGAAAAACTGGGCGTCACATCGTATCCTCCACCGAAACGGCAGCACTCCCGTCCGCCGACCGTGCGTTCGTCCGGTGGAGTTGGGCGAATCCAGTCGTTTGGGGGGACGGTTGGGTGATCTTTCGTGGCAGTCACTTCACTAGACGTTCTCAGTGTGGATACTACAATTGATATGACAGATGGATACCCTAGGGCTCCAACCACCTCCTGAGAAGATGGTTGGGGTGGGTTTGGGGGGTCTAACCACCTTCTGAGGAGATGGTTGGAGCCCTAGGGATATGACAGATGGATGCTCTTGATTCATTCGGAACCCAGCTGGGAGGGTCACGTCCGCATCCCCCCAGGCCCTCTTCAGGGTTTTCGGGAAAAACCACCCACCGTCTCTCTCGAACGGTCTACGGCGACCCGGGACCGGTGGACACCGATGACAGGCCAGCGCCTTGCATGTGGCCGTTCACCAGGGCCATAAGGAGTCGATGCGCGGTGCGTGAGTCGATGGTCGCGGTTGGGGGCGCAGCATGAAGGGATGGCAGCATGACACCGGTTTGGAGCATGTCCACCAGGAGTCACAAAGGGGTGGTGTTTGGTCCCCAAGTGAGTGGATTAAGGGCACCCCTAACCTCCATTAAGCACCCCTTTGTGACTGCTGGTGCATGGTTCTTCGTAGAGAGTATGCTTGATGCAACTTTCTTTGGGGAGTGTCTGTTTGGCACACTGCAAAACAGACACGCGTAGTTTGAAAAACACATCACCCTTGGAAGTCGGACCGCAACAATTGTTTAGAATGTTTAGATTGGATTCATGAAAGCACTCTGATCATGCCGGATGCTCATGAGATCGGGAATCATCACCGTAAACATGCGAAAGCAACATGTGTGCCCACACGCCCACCATGTGGTGTGGGAGTGCAGGCGGTGCTTCCGGAGCAGGTGTGGTGTAATCAACCGCATGGGATGGTACCCATGAGACTTGATGTTGTCAGATTCAAGCAGTGGGCGGAGATGCGTCAACGCCTTTGCAAAACCATCATCCTGGACCACCGAGGCTGCGCAAGACTGAGCAACCACTTATAATATCTTATAATTATATAGTCACTACCGTGCCTACCGTGCTCCTCACTTGCCTGGGTCAACCCCACCAGGTCCAGACAGATGGCTTTGTTGGTGTCTGGCCCGAGCCAGGTTGCCGTTTCAAACCACAAACCAAAAAATGACTGGCACGTCGAAATTCACGATTCACTGCGCCTGCCACGAAATCTGAGTACATCAGAGACCACCACCAAGCCGTCTTCTACGAACATGTACAAATCCAAGTGCAATGCTCCCATCCTTCCCTAGGGATCCAAGTACCTTCTCAGAAGGTACTTGGACCCTCCAAACCTACATAACAGTGTCTCCGTCCTCACCGAACCTGAGAAGGTTCGACTGGATCCCTAGGGCTTTGTAGTTTCCTTGGAAAGTTGAGACCACCAAACATGTCGAACAAGAGAGCCCCCTTGCGCCTGACACGAAAAAAGTCCACCAAAGCCATGGCCATGTGCATTGCACCACAAGAAGAACACAGTCACGAAACAGCCGTGGCCATTTTGACCAAGATGTACTTTGCATGCACTGGTCACTTTCTATATTAGTTGTGGTGTCAAGGCTTTTGGGCTCCACACCGGAAATGCTGGCCAAGCCATAGTTTCTGGGACGGCCGGACATGCGTCATTCAGCCGAAGGAGCTGATCCGGCCACTGCTCAAAGCACAAGCCAACCCAGAATTGCAGATGCGTGCCTGGGTGAGGTTTTCGTGCGTGCGCAGGTGGGAAGTTGGGACAATGTGGGTGCTAAGCCTTGCTGATTTTGCCACCTTCTTCAGGCAACTGTTTGCAATTCTTGGCCGCGTGGGCAGCTTATAGGTAGCTTTCAGATCTTGGCAGCTTTCCTCGGAGGAAAGCGCGCGCGCGCGCCCGCATCGCCGGTGTCTTGCCGAAGAAACGCCGTGTTCCTCGCTGCGTGGATCGGCTCCCGCTGCGGCAGAGCCGAGGTGGGGGCTTCACGCCCCTGGCGCTGGCGGCGGGCGCGGGGAGGTTGTCCTGCCGGGCGCCCCAAAGGTTGTTGGCCCATCCGAACGTCCCCGGGTGGTCTTGAAGGCGGTCCAGTTCAAACGGTCACGGCCGGTCTTTTTCGGGAGGGTTGGTGCCCCAAGTTTTGCCCTGAACAAGGCAGAGTTTCTGAAGTTTCGGAAGTTTACCTGCGCGGGCACTGACATCCATCGAATGTCCATGGCTGAACCGTTTCCAAAAGAGTTGCAGTAGGTTCTTGGCCCGCTTTGGGGGAAGAAATGGTCATCACCGAAGGCCGTGACCTGCCCGACTCCTTTGCTTCAAACAAAGGCCTCCTTCAGTCCACGCTGGTCGGCGGACACCGCTGCGCCATGCTCCACTCCGCCGGGGTTTCTCTTCGCCCGCCATGTTGGGCGGTCGGGGACGCCGCGACTCTGTCCTGTCCGCCCTGACCCGCACGGGCCCCGCCAGGCTGCCAGCTGCTTTTGGAGTCAGGCGGGGTCGGATCGGAGGTGTTTGACGCCAACTCCGGTTCCAACGGTGTAATTCGACGATCAAGTACGCCAGGTTTTCCGGGTCGAAGGTCACTGGCCTCTCTTGGTGGCTCAGAAATGGCTCGTCCCAGGGTGGCGATTCTCTACTTGTAGGTCGCTCGCTCACCAAAGCATATCTCAGCCGTGTCCCAGACAGAGCCAAAAAGGATAATGATATTTAAAATAATAAAAAATAGATACATAATGAATAGATAAATCAATTAAATATATAATATACATATGTAGAGGCATTCCAGCAGTCGGACGTGAACCAGCAATTGGCTACTATTACATCGGGTTGCTTCAGTTTTCCAAGGCGGACTTGCCATGTCGTTGCGAGGGCCTCTATGCTTGCTGCTGCTGCTGCCGCCGCCATGCCATGCCCTTCGTGCCTTCCAAAACCGAAGTGAGCTGCAGGCCGCGGTCCTTGACTGGAGTTGGGGGGGAGAAACTTGGCCAAAGACTTAGTGCACCCAACCGGCATAACATGACCAAAGAGATGTCAAACTTAGCTTCCACACAGCTAAGGACACGACCCGGGCTCGTTTGAGGTCCACCTACGGGCACATTGCGCAATGGGACGTGTCCAAGGTGACGAACATGACCCGATTGTTGGCTGGGGTCGCCTACGAGTTCAATGAACCCATAGGAGCTTGGAATACTTCTGCGGTGAAGGACATGAGCTACATTTTTGCCAATGCCGCACATTTCAACCAGCCGATCGGCTCTTGGAATACTTCGACAGTAGCAGACATGAGTCACATGTTTGACGGAGCCTCTGCGTTCAACCAGCCCATCGGCTCTTGGAATACTTCGAAGGTGGCAAACATGAGTCACATGTTCAAGGGAGCCTCTGCCTTCAACCAGTCGATCGGCTCTTGGAATACTGCAGCAGTGATAGACATGAGCAACATG